ATGATTATGATTAAAATAAAACAAGAAAAAGAGCTGGATAGCTTGATTGATTTGTTCTTAAAGCTCGCTACAGCTTACCCCATTAACCCTTCGATCAATTTCAATCCAGTTTAAGTAAAATTTAAGTAAATGAAGCTGGTTTTAAAAGAAATAATCAAAGCTAGAATGTGTTTCCTCTTGAATTACTTGAATAACGTATTTCTTCGAATAGAAGACCGGGTAAAGAGTATGATCGCGTACTCCTGCGTAGCAGCCCTTTTAAAATTTCTTTTCTGCATAATAGCTTTCAATGAAGTGCTATAGGGCTGGAAAATGAAATCAAAAATGCCACATGAGCTAACAGAACCTTTACCTACTCTTTACCCGGTCGTCTATTCGAAGAAATACGGTAAATTCGTGTATTCGTGTATTCGTTTAATTTTTAACTTTTTACTTGTGTAACTTTTTACTTACCGTAAATAGAGAGTACAGGTATTGTGATAATTGTCTTACTAAAGCTAACATTTAAAAGATCAAGATTAGACCAGAAAAATAAATGAGAATTTGGTATGGATTGATTTTTGCTCATAAATACATCGATAATCGCGGCTGTCGACATGGTCGTTGTGGCCGAGTGGTTAAGAGCCTGTCTCTTAGTCGGGAGGTTCAGTCGAGAGGCCGAGGGTTCGATCCCGCTGACTAGATTTTCGTTTTTTGGAAACTATATGGGTTTTTTCTTCTCTACGTCCTTCTGTACGTTTAGGGCTTAGAGTTAGTAGGGTTAAGGGTTTGATTCGTATGAATAAATGTATCCTTTTCACTAGATTATGGCTAGATTGTAAAGAAAAAGAGATTTAGATTTGTGATAACTTTCAGGAGAGAGTACTGTATCTAAAATTTGTTCAATTTGCTTCTATTGATGTTCTATTGATGTCAGGAATGTTGTAAAATTCGATAGATAAACCGGAAAGGATGAAAATAAGGTTAAGAATGAAAGCCTGAAGAGGAGATGAAGGGAAAAAGGGAAAAAAGGGTTGAGGACAAGTTGAGGCTGACTCCTTTTCTCTTTTTTTCAAACGAACACGTTATTTCCAGTTTTTCCGAAATCCAGAAATTTCCCTGGCTTCTCTTTCTTTCTTTCTTTCTTCTCTTTCTTGCCTTCCTTCTTGCTTCTTGCTTCTGTCCTTCTTTCTTCTCTTTCTTTCTTTCTGTCCTTCTTTCTTCTTGCTTCTGTCCTTCTTTCTCTCCTTCTTTTCTCTCCTTCCTTTCTTTCTTCTTTCTCTCCTTCTCTTTCTCCTTTCTTTTCTATTGCCTTTCTCCAGAACTGACTCTCTCTTTTCCCAAATAGATATCGAGAAATGAATCCAGCCACTTCTATTCACTTTTTTTATAAACTAACAAATCCAATTCTCAATTGATCAATTAATCGATTCAATTTATAAAATAACATTTTTATTAAAGAAAAATTGAATTGATGACTTGGTTTGACTTGAATTGATTGACGTCAAATATTTCTCGTCAATATCTCTTTTCATCTTTCCCTTTAAAGCAATGTTAAAGTTGTTAACTTGAAACTTGTGTTTGTTTGAATCTTGTACTCATTGTAATCTTATTCAGCTTGTAATCTTAAACTCATTGTAATCTTGTACTCATTGTAATCTTGTACTCATTGTAATCTTGTACTCATTGTGAATTTTGTACTATTGTAATCTTGTACTCATTGTAATCTTGTACTCATTGTAATCTTGTACTCATTGTAATCTTGTACTCATTGTAATTCGATCAATAAATTTTATATATTGTAATCTTGTACTCATTGTAATCTTGTACTCATTGTAATCTTGTACTGTACTCATTGCTGTACTCACTGTACTCATTGCGATAGCATTAAGAAAGCGGAACCCATTTGAGATTTTGAATTCAAATGAAATTTTAAAACATTCAATTTTTCAAAGGAGCAAATCAGCAAGGGAATTTGTCACAGAATTGTCAAATTTGTCATTTGTTAAATTTGTCAAACCTGTTACTTTCTAAACTTAAAGCATCAGCTGTAGCCATTAGCTTTAGCCATCAGCTTTAGCCATTAGCTTTAGCCATTAGCTTTAGCCATCAGCATTATAGCTTAGCCATCAGCTTTAGCCATCAGCTTTAGCCATTAGCTTTAGCCATTAGCTTAAAGCCAACAACAAATCTGTTTTCCTTTTTTATCTTCTCTCTTTCTCATTATCTTAACTCAATCTTTTCAGAATGAGGTTACAACTTTTGTTAAGCCTTTTCCTCGTTGTGCATCTTGTTGTCAGTCAGAAGTTAAAAGTGAGTTTTGTTTTTGTTTAAAAAGGAAACAATTGCTAATTGCTAATGAGGAAACAATTGATAATTGATATTGAACAATTGCTAATTGCTATTCTTAAAACTTTATCATTCCAGGAGCCAGCATCAAATTTGAGAGATCAAGAAGATGAACAATCTGCTGAAGAAGATACAGAGGATGCGCACATTTGAGTTCACTGAAGAGGCTGCTTTTCATGATATGGTTGGCTTTGAAGACTTATGAAAGAACAGTACTTGTGAGAGTAAAAGGTCAATAGGGCAATGGGTTAATGGTTCTCAATCACTTCTTCTTATTAATACACGTGGTTTTGATTTTCAAGTGATTTTCAGTCATTTTCAAGCAGGTTCTGAAGACCTAGACCCAGATTTTCCTTCTTTCTTCCTTCTTTCCTTTTCCCCCTCTTTCCTTCTTTCTTCCTTCTTTCCTTCTTCCTCCCTGTCTTTCCCTTCTTCTCTTGGCAGGTTAAGGTACCCGATAGTCTAGTGGTCATTACGACAAGCAGACGAGCTTATTTCCAAAATTCGAGTTTTAGGACAACTTTCCAGCTCATTTCAGTTTTAAAACACCCTAAACTTGTCGGATCGGAGAGTTTTAATAATATTTAGATAGCTTAGAACATCAGCTTTCAGAAAGTATTTGTTTCATCAAAGTTATCAACAAAAGCCTATCTAAAATCGAGTTACAAGCTCGTCAAAAACTCGCCCGCCCGAAAATCGGATTTAAGCTTTAAAACGAAATGTTTTTGGGGTTTTAAAACGATTAAACAAGTGTTAGAAAGACTTTGTTTTGTAGTTCTGAGGTTTGCAATCGTTTTGAAATGAAATGCTCCAAGTTTCAGCACCAATCAACACCATCAGCTGAGGGGAAAATGGAGAAGACGCCAATAGAGGTATTTTTGGCCTCTTGAGCTCTATTGGCCTCTATTGGCCTCTATTGGCCTCTATTGCCCTCTATTGACCCTCATTGGCCAATAGAGTAATTCTTTGTGTCCTTAAACTTTCATAACTCCATTTCTATAAAGCGTCTAGTGTTTTGAAACTTTCATAAATCCATGCCCATATCTTAATATTTCCATAGTTCATCTATTGTTATTCAATTGATCTATTGATCTATTGTTATTCAATTTTCCAGCCAAGAAAACCCCACTGAACACTCAAAAATCAGTCATGAAGTCCGACAGTCATGAACCCACTCCCTGCACCCGCACAAATCGACACTCACACAATGGAAGAGGTTCTGGGAAAAGTGAATAGAACTTGAACTTTAAAACTTTCTTCAACATTTATTTAAAATCTCTCTACGTTTTGAAGTGATTTGAAGTGATTTTTGGTTTATGCACAAGAGGAGTTCAGTATTTCATCAAAAGAACGTTTTCAGTTGATTAATTAGATCAAAAAGGCGCGATTGATGAGTGTAGAGAATCTAGGAATAGTTTATCGAACTCTAGAATCGTTTATCGTAACCTAGAATAGTTTATCGCAATTTTGAACTCACTGAACCATTCTTTAGGTATTGAACACTCAAATCAGTTAAAGCTTTGACTGTACCAGAATTTTATAGCAAATTTTGGAGTTTAAATGGTTTTAAATGGACGACTGATAAGCTTGAATGGTTCCTAGGTTTTCTATTAGTTAAACTATTCAGTTAACAAGTGTGATATGCAGGATTGGTGAAAAAAGACTAAAGTGAAAGGTTAGCAAAGTTAAGCAAAGCAAAGTTAAAGCAAAATCAGGTCAAAGCCAAGCCAAACCAAGCCAAGCCAAGCCAAAACCAAGCCAAGCCAAGGCCAAAGCCTAACCAAACCAAGCCAAGCCAAGTCAAAGCCAATCCAAATCAAGCCAAGTCAAGCCAAAGCCTGAGCCTAAGCCTAAGCCTAAGCCTAAGCCAAGCTAAGCCAAGTCAAGAGCAATCCAAATCAAGCCAAGTCAAGCCAAAGCCAAAGCCTAAGCCTAAGCCTGCTCTCGTCGCCTAAGCCAAGCTTAGCCAAGTCAAGAGCAATCCAAATCAAACCAAGTCAAGCCAAAGCCAAACCAAAGCCAAGCCAAGCTAAGCCAAAACCAAGCCAAGCTAAGCCAACCCAAGCCAAGCCAAGCCAAGCAAGCCAAAGCCAACCCAAGCCAACCCAAGCTAAACCAAAACCGAGCCAAGCCAAGCCAAGCCAAGCCAAGCTAAGCCAAAACCAAGCCAAAGCCAACCCAAGCCAACCCAAGCCAACCCAGCCGCCAAGCCAGCCAAGCCAGACAATAACCTCCATTGACCTCCTGGAAATTTCAACCTTTCCTTGAAATTTGGCCTAAAACCTTGATCCCTTGACTTAGCTTGGCTTGAAGATTAAGCCTTTTGCCAATTCTGTTAGTATTCCGCTTGCACCACACTTCTAAATGTCATTAAACCACTCAGTCATTAAATCACTCAGTCATTAAATCACTCAATTAAATATAAAGTATGAAACGAGTTCTGCAAGTCAATTATTTTCAGCACGATTCCCATTCACACATCCACGGACATTCCATTCACGATGGGGAAATCTCCTCACAAATCAAATCAAAAGAAGAATCGAAGAAAGAAATGAAATCGAAATCCGGAACCGAAAGAGGAATCAGAAGAAGGAAATGAAGAGGACGAGGGAGAATTAGAATATGAAGTGCCTGAAGAAGAGCAAGTGCATCGAGAAACAGTGACAACAAGAATGCCAATGAAGTCGATGGATAAACACGAAGCAATGTTCAGAGAGGAGTTGGCTGTGAGACCACCGCCAAATGAATCACTTGAGCAAAGACCCGAAATCGCACCGATCACTGTGGAGTTTATGTGTTTCTGTTTTTGAGGTGTGATCAAGTTTAAGTTCACCGTCTTTACACTGTCATGAGTATTCTGTTGGAACTGTTTTTGAAGGTCTAGCCTGTAAAGCTCTAGTCTGCAAAGCTCCTAGCCTCTAAAGCTCTAGCCTCTAAAGCTAAAAGCAACCCCAAGCGCCCTACAACTACCCCTAGCCTCTAAAGCTCTAGTCTATAAAGCCTCTAACCTCTAAAGCTCTAGCCTGTAAAGCTCTAGGCCTGTAAAGCTCTAGCTATTGAAGCTCTAGCCTCTAAAGCTCTAGCCTATAAAGCTCTAACCTCTAAAGCTCTAGCCTCTAAAGCGCTAATCCGGACAATGATCACTGTATCACCGGACAGTGATCACCGGACAATGATCACGGAATTCTAAACGCGCTGAAGATCTGAAGGTAGAGAATTGATTTCATTCCATTCCCAGGGCCCCACTCCTCTTCCCGAGCCGGCAATCAAATTCGACAATATCAACGATGAAGATTATGGAGAAAATGAAGCTGAAAGTGTTTGTTTTATAAAAATTCGAAAATTTGAAATTTATTGCTCATAGCTGACAGCGAAAATAGCTTAACTTTGTCTATTTTAGACAAAACCCGACGCTGTGGACAAGACGTGATCGAGCAACTTGTCAACAAATTCCTCAACACTGGATCCACTACAGTAACCGCAAAAAACAGAGATCTTACGCCCAAATCTTCTTCTTTAGGACCAAAAGGGTAGTGCACCGAAATTCGTGAACAAAGAGGCGCAAAAATTGCTCGGCTCAAGTCCATATTGGAGCGATAAAGGAGTCAAAGAGATTGGATCGATCAAAGATTCGGACGAAGCCGAGAGGAATGGCTGGATGGATATTATAAAGAGGCACAAAAAGTCCTGTCATCAGGTGAGCAAGGGGGTTTCCGCTTTTTCCGGATTTTTTATCATGAGATTATTAGGTGACAACAGCTGGATGGCGATATTTCACGTCGATCTCGTCAGAACTCAAGGAAATCACTGACTGAGGCTCAGGTTTGCGGGGGAAAATAGTAAAGAAAATAGATAAATAGAAAATAGATGGATTGAGTAAAAGATAAAATAGAAAACAAGGTATAAACAAGGAGCAATTCGAATTGTTTTACTTTTACAACAAACGTTTCCCTCGACGTTTGTCTTTGGATTAAAGTGCGACTAAACGAATCGCTAAAATAATGACTCGATAACGACAAAATAACAAACCGTACTCACAAGGGAAGAATGATTTGGTCTCGATCTTATCTCTTTGATAGAGGTTGGGTCTCGATCTTATCTCTTTGATAGAGGTTGGGTCTCTATCTTATCTCTTTGATAGAGATTGGGTCCCAACGGCTTTTTCCGATGAGATATCGACCATTCAATGCAGAATTTTACGCCATTCCAATGAATTCCAAAAATTAGCGGCTAAATGGCGGGTAATCACCGCCAAACTGGCATAAAAGTTTTGAGTCTCTCTTTTTAAGCCGACTTTTTGTTCAACACAAACCGTTCATCGGTGGACGATACTTTATCAACATTGACAAGCTATTAAATGTTTAACAAGAATAACAAACTACAATCAAACAGAGAAAAGCGTTTATGTGGACTGACAAAGAACAAAAAGCACGTAGAATGGAAAAAGCAAAAATGATACGGGGATCGGGTTCGAACTCTCATCCCCTAGCTTGCTAGCTTCAAGCACTCAACTCAATTCAGCCACCGATGAACGATTTGTTTTGCAAAAAAATCGGCTTAAAAGGAGAGGCTTTGTGCCCGAATAAACGCACCTTTTCAACGGCACATTAAGTTTATTTGTGTGCCAGAGGGTGTGCGTTTGAATCACAAAGATACTGACAATGAGGACCCTTATTTCACTACAGTATGCTAGCTTTATAAGTATTTAGCTAGATAAGACTGATAACTAGAATTTACATATGAATTTAACTGAATTGTACATAAAATCCAGGACGTGATGTCTCGTTTCGTCCACTCCACCTCGATGCAAGCCAAGCAATTCGATGCGGCGGCTATGCCCGAAGAGGTACACAATATCAACTGAATATCTTATATGGATATTGTAAATTGATCGAAAATCAGACCATCACGAATTTCGCCTATTTTCAGTTGAAGAAACAACTCCATTACGTTTCTTTCGAGGGAATGAGCGCGTTGAAAGAAAAAGATCATCAAGCTTTCACTTCAGCGCAAGATCATGTTTGTTTTATGGCAGATATTAACACGATTATCTACTAAAACTAAAACATTTCTTTTCAGATCAATCAACAAATCTCTGAGACGTTGACCTGTGAGAAAGGGATGAAAGCGCCATGCACATTGAAGTAATATTTGACTTGAGGATTCTGTAATCGTAATATTTTGTCTAAATTCATGCCAACCATATTGGAACCATATTGGAACCGTATTGGAACCATATTGGAACCGTATCAGAACTATATTGGAACCGTATCCGAATCATATTGGAACATAAAATATTTAGCTATTAGACTAGTTTGGTTTCATTAAAAAGCTTTCAAATTTCCAGAAAAATCGATATCTCAGCGATTTTCAACTCGGAAAACGATGCTGATCACTTGAAATATTTGTGGGGAGCTTTTGTGAGAAATGTGGCTCGTTTAAAGCCTCATTACAAGAAGATTCTTGATCTATCGAACACCGGTGAGAGGTTGAAATGTTGTAGTCTTAGATTCTGATTCGACTAGGTGAATATATTTGGCTCTATTTTGAATACCGATCTAAATTACTAAAAAAATAAGATGCGCTATGCGAATTGAGTTCAAAAATGTTTTATCATAGGCAACGCGTCCTCTCTGAAACACTTTTAAAACTCTTTCCACTTTAGCGGCCCAATTGAACGGTTTCTCTGATGGAGGGGCAATGTGGAGAAGCGCCTTCGATCTTTCCACGAAAAACTCACCCCCGAAATTCGATCTGAAACAACAAATGCAGCAAATCTACGAGAAAATCTTGCCTCTATATAAACAGGTTCGAAATTTTTACTTTTCTGGGGGGAAGGGAATGTGGTTTTTAAAAAGGCATAAGATTCTCTTTTTCAGCTTCACGCTTACATTCGACGGCAAATCTCGGAATCTACAAGAATCCGATCGGTTTGACGAAAGATCAAACAATTCCAGCGCATTTGTTTGGAAGTACAGGTAGGAACCGTATTAGAATCAAAATAGGAACCGTATTGGGACCGTATTGGAACCGTTGGAATTGTTGCTATCAGAATTTTAAAACCGTAATCTATTTAGCAACTAAAACTTTTAGATTTACCAACCCTTTTCAAAAATGATTTGACACGAAAACCCAAGACTAAATAACAAGAAAAACACGCCGTGGGCAGATTATTTAGATTTGCGTTTTAGTTAAAAGGCTTTTCTTCTTCAAAGCCACTTTTTCTGGGGTATTTTTATGTGTAGATTCCGGAAAACACAACGATAGCTTGGGAAATGAGTTTTAAGCCGAGTTTTGGGGCTCCAAAGTGCGCGCTTCTATAGTGTACTTCACTATATGGAGCCCTATCGACTATTCGGGCACTTTCAAGGTCAAAACTAGAGCCAAAACCATTTTTAACCACTAAATATTCATTTTCTAACTTAAATTGACTGGTAGAAGCAAAAGAAATTGAAAAAACAACATTTTTTGAGATTTTGATTCATGTGGGATCGAAATTTGGAAAATATTTTTTTGCTCCGATTTGATCAGAAATGTAATCAGCAGGTTCAATTATGCCAGAAGAAGTGTTTTTGGCTTCAAAAATGTTTTGAGAGATCATTAGACCTCTCTTCCTTATGTGTGTATCCCTCCCATCACACTCATCATACTAGAAGCGCGCACTTTGGAGCCCCCGAAACTCGGCTTAAAGCGCCTTTTCCCAAGCTCTCGTTGTGTTTTTCGGAAGCTACGCATAAAAATAGCCCAGAAAAGTGGTTTTAAAGAAAAAATTGTCCCCTCCCCCGCCCAACTATGCCAGTACCACAACTTTTCAAAAAAGTTACCTTTTGTCTATTGAGAAGCCATTTGGCAGCAAGCGAGCCAGTCTGCCTAACAAGTGACCCTTGGCGTCGATGACGGCGGTTTATTGCTCAAACCTCATGCTTGCTTTCTGAAAATAGAAAAATTAAAGTTTGAACTTTGAAGAAAAGAACTTGAAAGAAAACAAAAAGGTTCAAAGAGTTGGGAAGCGCAATGCCAATTTGCAAATTTTGCAGCCACTTTAAAAAGGTCTTGAAAGAAAAACAAATTATTCATAGTTTGTTTTGACGAAAATTAAAGTGCCCCTAACCTTAATAGCGCCGGAATTGGTTGTTGAGTTTATACGGCATTTGTGAACGGATCCAAAGCAATGGAGTGGAAGGAAGCGAAAAGAAAGCAAAAGAAAACGAAATGAATAAAATAAACCGTATTAGAATTTTAAGCAACAAACTATGGTCAAATAATATAAAAAGGAGGGGGCGGAGGAGGGGAAAGAGAGTACTTTAAAAACGCGTTACAAAAACATAAAACATAATAGATTTTACGAAGGGGGAAGGTAATTTAACGAGACTCGGCATAAAGAAAATAAAGTACTCTAAAACAAAGTAAAACAAAGCAAAACAGAGCAAAACAAAGTAAAACAAAGTAAAAGAAAACAAAACAAAGTAAAACAGAGCAAATCAGAGTAAAACAGAGCAAACCAGAGTAAAACAAAGCAAAACAAAGTAAAACAAAGTAAAACATAGTAAAACAAAGCAAAACAGAGCAAAACAAGGTAAAACAAAGTAAAACAAAGCAAAACAAAGTAAAAGAAAACAAAGTAAAGTAAAACAAAGTAAAACAGAGCAAATCAGAGTAAAACAAAGTAAAACAAAGCAAAACAAAGTAAAACAAGCAAATCAGAGTAAAACAAAGTAAAACAAAGCAAAACAGAGCAAAACAAAGTAAAACAGAGCAAATCAGAGTAAAACAAAGCAAAACAAAGCAAAACAAAGTAAAACAGAGTAAAACAGAGTAAAACAGAGTAAAACAGAGTAAAAACAGAGTAAAACAGAGTAAAACAGAGTAAAAACAAAGTAAAACAAAGCTAATGAAAGCTTTCGATTTCATCATGGAATGAAGAAAAATGAAAAGAATGGCAAAGGGGAATTTTCGTGTGAGGTACGGTAGTGATCCACGCTTTAGGAAGCGCGTCGCGCCGCTTGCGCGCCAGTCTCTTAAAATCGCACATCAATGGGAATCTAACTGTTGAAAAGTCCAATAATTTATCATTTTCAGAAGGAGGCGATTGGTCTTTCCATTACGAATCAACGAAACCGAATAGTGAAGAAGATCAAATAGCTGAGGAGATCATTGAAAATATGCAAATGCAGAATTACACGTCGAAGACAATGTTCATCAAGGTATGCAATGAAATTATGAAACAAAACTTTATCAAGAGCTTAATAAATTACGTAGAGCTTTGGCTCAAAGTTAGCTTTATGGCTTAAAGAGCACCTTACTGTAACTGTAACTGTAACTGTAATTGATTACTTTGTTCTACATTAAATCCCTCCTATTCGTTTCTTAACTAACTTCGAATTGGAAAACGGAATTTTCTCGAAGCACCTCTTTTTAGGAAATGGTTTAACTAGGATAAATCGTCGAATTGAATCGTTTTCTAAAAGGTTCGCTTTGAAAAGGTTACCGTATTCTAAACCTGGTCATGTAAATCAAGGCGTATTCTAAACTTGGTCATGTAATTCTGATCAGATCAAAAGATTGTGGGACACGTCCCTTTGCCATTGGCAATCCAACTTTGAACTCAAATTTCCTGGTGTTGGGCTTTTCAATTTGAATAATTTTTGTATCAATCGATAGAGAAAGACGCGGCGCATCTAATGATATTAAAAACTATTTGAATTGGACAACTGAACACCAAGAAATTTGAGCTTAAAGTTAGATTACCAATGGCAAAAGCGGAGCCACAATCAAATGTCCAATTTCAGTTAATTTCAGCTAAAAAAAAACTGAAACTGATGAAAGCTTTAAAAAAAATAAGAAAATAAGACAATAAAAGACATTCTGATCATTTTGATGTTTCTGATTCTAATGAACTTATTGTTTTTAGGCTTATCGCTACTTCAAATCCGTCGGTTTCCCTCCACTACCGAAGAGTTTCTGGACGAATTCGGTTTTCCAAAGAGTTTGGTCAAAAGATATGCTTTGTGAGCCGGCTGCTGCTTTTGATATGAGAGATGGAGAAGATTTCAGGTACCAAATTTAATGTTTTATCTTTTTCTTATGTTTCTGCCAAGCTAAACTCGTAATTTTGGAGCTAAATTCTTCATTTTTTTTAGAGTGAAAGCCTGTTCCCAAATCGGTGAACCCGATTTCAAATTGGCTCATTCGCTTCTCGCTCAAGTTTACTACCAATTTTTGTACAGGAAACAGCCACTGGCATTCAGGTGATTTGAAATAGATAGAATATATGTCGTAACCGATTATGAATTTCAGCCGATTATGAATGAGTGGGTTTAGGAGCGTCCAACCATCAAGTATTTAGTATCATTCAACGCAGAATCATTGAGAATTATGTTAAATTTTTGAAATTAGAAAGATTCGAAAAAAAGAAAAAAATTATGGGGCTCCAAAGTTTTCTCTCGAACAAACAGTTTTTTGCTCTAATTTTTTTTCTTTTTATCCAATCTTCCTAATTTAAAAAATTTAACATAATTATTAATGATTCTGCGTTGAATGATACTGAATACTTGGTGGTTGGACGCTCCTGGACTCCTAGACCCAAAGACGCTCCTAGACCCCTGATCCAATACTGATGAACGCTCCTAGACGCTCCTAGACCCAAATACTTGATGGTTGGACGCTCCTAGACGCTCCTAGACCCAAATACTTGATGGCTGGACGCTCCTAGACGCTCCGACACAAAAAAATTTTGTGTGGGGGTAAGACCCACTCATTCATAATCGGCTACGGGGATCCCGCCGATTTTGAACGAAACGTTGTAGTGCCGGCAATTTTTAACCTAAACTCACAAATTTGGTACCAATCGACGCAGAATTGAATTCGCTACAAGATGATATAATGTCAATTCGCTACAAGATGTCCTCATACATTAAAGGGTTGCTCTACTAGAAAGATTTGCTAAAAAATTTCATTCATAATCGGCTACGACATATAGATAGAATATAGATAGAATTTAGATAGAATATAGATTTCACGAAATCTCATAAACAATACATTCAATGAAATCCAGTTAATCCATTTTTTTTTTCAGAGAATCCGCTTCTCCTGCAATCAACGAGGCGATCGCTAATGTTTTCCTTCATTTAGCCTCGAATCCAAATTATCTTTACAGTCAGGTAGAGCTTTAAAGTGATTAAAATCTTTGCTAGAGATTGTAAGAAGAATCTGAAGAGCTCAAAACGCGTAAAAACTCGCTCAAAACTTCCAGAAACTCGTCAGCGCCGAGTCTCTTCAAGTCAAAGAATCAACGATTATCAATCGATTGTACAGGTCAGAAACTATCAACTATTACTATCAGAAAGGTCAGGAACTATCAAATATTACTATATTATAAGCTATAAAGACTATAAAATCCTATAAAATCCTATAAAATATTCAGTTATCTAAAATAGAAATTGTTTATTCAACGATTTATTTTAAAAAGAGAAGATCAACTGGATGTGCTTAGCCAAATGAAATGATCCATAGATCATTCGACGCAGAATTTCACGCTGATTCTGAATCTGCTTTGCGTTTCTGCTATAGAGCGCTCTATCAAAAGTTATACGGGTTTAAAGTTTTGTTGCCTTGTGGTTTTGTCAAATGCTATGCGACCTATATCATTCAACGCAGAATTGCACACTGATTCCGAATCTGCTTCCTGTTTCTGCTATAGAGCTGCTATAGAGCTATAGAACTCTATCAAATGCCATAAGATAATCAAGCCGCGACCTTACAAGCCAGTCTTCCACAGGCCAGTCTTCCAGGCCAGCTTGTTGCAGCGGTGGCCGAGTGGTAGTGAGTTAGAAGGCAAGGTGGGGTTGGAGAGAGGGAGGGGCCCTGATTCGAGTCCGGTAGCTGATCGCCATTGTTTTTTAGTACAATACAAATTACTGTTTGCACAAATAAGGATTAATCAGTGGGATTGCTGTAAAAATTCTTTCAAAAAAGACTTTCAATAAGGGAAATAAGGCAATCTTTGTCTGAATCAGATTGTCGTTTTTTGGGCGCCGCCTGGGTACAAGCTACCGGACTCGAACCAGGGCCCCTCCCTCTCTCCAACCCTGAGCGTCGCCTAAATTCCTCGAAATCTCGAGAACCGCTTATCAGAACCTATCGATGTGGGGTCGGAAAATGTAGCTGACGATGAGATCTAGTGGGGGATTTGAGTGTTGAGCTTCTGGGAAAGCTTGGGAACTGTAAAATGGTGGTCAACTCGGCTCGGCCGGGTGCACTATTAGTAGAGAAAATACAGTATTTTTTTTTAGAGAAGCTTTGGACAATGTGGCGAAAATCCCGTTCGCATTAACAGCCGATACGTGGAGATACGAGATTTTAGAGGGAAACACGAGTGATCATCAATGGAATGAAAAATGGTGGAAATTGAGGTGAGATTTTCGATTAATCGATTTCGATTTCAAAACCTCCATCTTTACATCTCTTTTCTTCTCGTTTAATCTAAAGTGCTTAAACGCACATCATCTAGGGCACATCTAGGGCACGCTGATCTCTGCTGATCTCTGCTGATCTCTAGGGCACATCTAGGGCACATCTAGGGCATATCTAGGGCACATCTAGGGCATATCTAGGGCACATTTAGGGCACATCTAGGGCACTTAATTTCTCATTTTTCTTGTCACATTTCTTGGCATTTAGTGTGCTAGAAAGGGTGTGTTTTTGAGTGCAAAGTACATGAAAAAAAATGTCTACTGAAATGAATGAAAATGAATCTCCGATTCAGAGAAACTCTTGAAGGCGTCCGGCCACCAGAAGACAAATTCCTCCCAGCACATATCGATGCTTTCATTCACACGCAAATCAGTCAGGTGAGAGAAAGGAAAATCGATGATCTTTGCTGATCTCTGCTGACCTTTGCTGATCTTTGCTGATCTCTGCTCATCTCTGCCGATCTGCTTACCAGAAATTCTTTTCAGGTTCACTCGCCGGCTGTTCGAAATCTAATCGGCTATGTGGCTCAATTCCAAATCTTGAAATCACTTTGTCCACCTGAGACTGAATTGGTGAGCTTTAACGGATAAAGAATTATTCCCAAAAATCGTTTTTTGCGGGGTTAATAACTAGGAAACAATGCTAGAAGCACAAAAAAATTAAGTGTCGCTCAGAAGTTTTTAAAAAATATCTTTGGAAAGTTTGGAAAATTTCATATAATCCTTATGAAACGAAAGCATTTGCGCATTTGCGTTTTCTGACGTTTCTGACGAAAGATAGCAAGTTATGGATTTTATGACGCTTATCTATTTATGGCCAACATCAAGGCCAACATTCTTTGTTAGTTTCTTTGATCTTGGTCTATTCTATTAGCTTTTCTTTACTTTATTTATTGAATGATAGAAAGAAACAGATTATATTAGTATTGGTGTCAAAAAAGTAGCAAAAAGTCTTAAGGCCAGGACTCGAACCCGAGCCAAGGACGAAAAGCTTGCTTTGTATACAAGCCATACATAGATTGCATACATAGCTAAGGCTATCCACTAGGCCATCAGCTCATATCCCCTGGCCGTGAGAAAAGCGTTTTAAGCAAGGATGTTGAAAACTTCGATAATATGCTAGTTTCGTTAAAATCAAAAAATTAGAAGAATTTTCAAAGCCAGGACTCGAACCCGAGTGAAGGACGGAAAGCTTGCTTTGTATACAAAGGCCTTATCCACTAGGCCATCAGCTCAAATCGGAGCGAGAAAAGCTTTTAAGCAAGATGTTGAAGACTTCGACAAAATATATTAGTTTCGTTAAAATCGAAAAAGTAGAGGACTCGAGCCAGGACTCGAACCCGAGCAAAGGGCGAAGAGCCCGCTTTGTATTCAAGCGCCTTATCCACTAGGCCATGGGCTCATTTCCCTGAGCGGTGAGAAAAGCCTTTTAAGCCAGATGTTGAAAACTTTTGTGTCAAATATTTCGCTTTTTTTTTGTCTTGTTTTCGTTTGACAGCTAATTCTTGCATTTTTATCACCTTAATCAATTCTATAACTTCTAGTGTACGAAAAGAGGGAAAATTTTAGTATTTAAGCCTATTTAAACCTGAGATTTAAGGCACGCTTTTGATCTATATATGCAAATTTCCAAAAAATTATTATTTCCATTGGATTGGATTGGAATTAAAGTGAAAAAAATGAGCTAAATTTCAATTTCTCTCAAGATTCTTTAGATTCAATTTCTTTATTTCAAAATCCTTTCAGGCTGAGGGCTGTATTCTCTCAGAGGACACGACAATGAGATTAAGAGAAATGATGGAAATGGGATCGTCGATTGATTGGTTGAAAGCACTCGAGATGTTGACGGGCAAAGGTTTATTTAGCTCCTTTGCTGTTTAGTTGCTTTGCTGTAACACTGATCGATTTAAATTATTCAAAAATTTGAGCCGAACTTGACGCGACTCCTCTCCTCGAATACTACAAACCGTTGATTGGATGGTTGGAGAATGCGAATGAAATCAGTCAAGTTTATATTGGATGGGACGGAGAAGGGACGAGATTTAATAAGTAAGAGATTAAGAATAATAACAGCTTAGCGATGTTCTAGAAGATTACTATAGTAAAAAGTAGATTGGAGAGGTATAACGGCTAAAGTATCGTACTTTTTTGAGCACCTGGCTGTCTGGCTTGTCATTAGCTGTCTAGCTTGTCATTAGCTGTCAGGCTTGTCATTAGCTGTCTGGCTTGTCATTAGCTGTCTGGCTTGTCATTAGCTGTCTAGCTTGTCATTAGCTGTCAGGCTTGTCATTAGCTGTCAGGCTTGTCATTAGCTGTCTAGCTTGTCATTAGCTGTTTGGCTTGTCATTAGCTGTATGGCTTGTCATTAATCCTTGTAAACCTTGAATGAATGATCCTTGTAAACGTTCAAAAGATTCTACTTCTAGATTACTATAGTAAAAAGTAGATTGAGGCCGTACTTTTGAGCACCAAACCGGATCTAGCTTGTCTACTTTAGCATGTGTCCCAATAAAAAGATGATTTAAAAGGATTATTCTCAAATAAAACTATGAAAGGGTTTATTCAAATGATCAAAATCAATCTACAATCTGTTTATAATCCATTTACAATCTACAATCCGTTTATAATCCGTTTACAATCCATTTACAATCAATTTACAATCCATCTACAATCCATTTACAATCGATTTTTCAGTGACGAGATCCCAGAGATGATGTCTAATGGGAAAATCTCTTCCGGCATTTTGAGTCAAGATCGAGTCGCTTTCCCAGGTTTATTTGATTAGCAAAACAACACCCCTCTCCACAAATGGAGAGGAGTGTCTTCTTGATTCGATTTTAACTGTTTTCTTGATCATTTTATTAACTAAACTAATTGAAAAGATCCTTTTAGTACTAGATTCTGAAATCCAATTTAATCTTAAAACTTTTAGGCGGTGATTGCACAAATGGAGAGGAGTGTCTTCTTGATTCGCATTGTGATGGAAAGGTTCATAACTTGTGAACCTTAAAAACTAATGAAAGCCTTGTCTAATGAAGACCTTGTCTACTGAAAGCCTTGTCTACTGAAAGCCTTGTCTAATGAAATGCTTGTCTAATGAAGAGCTTGTCTACTGAAAGCCTTGTCTAATAATCTTGTGAATTAGAAAGATATTACCATAATTTCCCTAATAGTAGCGCCTTCCTAAAAAGATGGTGCGGAGCATGGCGTAGTCTAACTTTAAACGTATTTTTCTTGCCACCCATTTAAGCTACAGCGTGCGTTTCTGTATTAAATGAAAGCTGAGATTCAGGGCTATTTTTTGATACCAAAAAGATACCAAATAAAAATACCAAACATGAAATTAGAGCGCTTAGAAAAAAGTGATTTAGTAAAAAATTTTTGCGACTACGTGACTGTACGGGGAAGCTACTAATAAAGATATTACAATAGATATTTGATAGCTTAATAGAAAGAAAGAAAGAAAGAAATCTATCTATATATATATCTAAATTCTAGGAATGTATCTGCAATGATGGCCTTTTCACGTTAAAATTCGATAACACTGTGTCTTGTGTGGCGACCGATCCAAGGAAAAGTGGTTTTATGGATGAAAATGGAGAGGTAAAAGTGAAATTGCCCAACTAGGATGTTGAAGAAATAAAGTACAGCGTTCATTTTTCATTCAAAAATACCCCAATACCCATTATCTTTTCTCAATTTTCAGCCAATTGGCGTCGGTTTGGTCCCATCCGAGACGACGACCGCCGAACCGCCAAAACAAAATCTCACCACAACAACTGTGACGACAAAAATGATGACAACGGTAAGAGAAAGATGAGCAACAAGATCGCTTTTAAAGAACAAACAAATTTTAAACATAAAATTTGACTCTTTCCCTGAATAGTGGTCTCTTCAAAGTTCCGTGGTCTCTTCAAAGTTCTATGGTCTCTTAAAAGTTCCATGGTCTTTTCAAAGTTCCCTGGTCTCTTCAAAGTTCTATGGTCTCTTAAAAGTTCTATGGTCTCTTAAAAGTTCCATGGTCTCTTAAAAGTTCCATGGTCTCTTCAAAGTTCCCTGGTCTCTTCAAAGTTCTATGGTCTCTTAAAAGTTCTATGGTCTCTTAAAAGTTCCATGGTCTCTTCAAAGTTCCCTGGTCTCTTCAAAGTTCTATGGTCTCTTAAAAGTTCTATGGTCTCTTAAAAGTTCCATGGTCTCTTCAAAGTTCCCTGGTCTCTTCAAAGTTCTATGGTCTCTTAAAAGTTCCATGGTCTCTTCAAAGTTCCCTGGTCTCTTCAAAGTTCCGGGGTCTCTTAAAAGTTTCGTGGTCTCTTAAAAGTTCTATGGTCCCTTAAAAGTTCCCTGGTCTCTTAAAAGTTCTATGGTCTCTTAAAAGTTCCATGATCTCTTAAAAGTTCCATGATCTCTTAAAAGTTCCGTGGTCTCTCCTTTCTTGGGTATACCCTTCTTCAGCTCGCATTCATCACAAAGCTTGACAAAAATTTCAATAATCTCCTTTGATATTCTATGATATTCCATGATAGTCACGAGGTTCCTTCCACATAATATCGCGTTCAACGTGTCCTAGTCGTTTGTGAGTATCCATCAGTAGATTGAAGAGCTCCTTCTTGAAAGATGAAAATAGCTGACTAATGATGAAAGATCTTAAATCAAAGTTTAAACTATTAAGCTTTTTTTTCCAGAGAACCTCGACAACTCTCTCATTCTTCTGGGTGATCATCAGCATTGCTCTCGCGAGACTTTTGTGATCAATTTGAATTTGAATTTGAATTTGAATTTAAACAATTACATCAGTGCCTTGTGATCGTTTTAAAAATAAGGTTTTACTTGAATGTTTAATGTTTTTAAGGTTAATTTCAAAAGAAAACATTTCCTGTGCTCATTTTGCGTGTATTTCCCATTTGCTGCTTTCCATTTTTGTGATCAATTTTTGCCCCAATATTTTTTGTGATCAATTTTCCCCTGAGAGGCGTTTCTTTTGTGAAAAAACGATATTTATTCTATTAATGGCCATAATTATATGGTTTTATACAAAAAAAAACAAATTTTTAGCAATTTCAATATCTGCCTTTACTGCCTAACGAGTCTGAGCAAAATTTTCAGACGGTCTGCCCAGCTCTTCGATTAGCTCTTCGATTTTTTACGACCCAAAGCTCATTCAAGCATGAAACCTCGTCCCCCCCCAAGCCCTTATTTTAAGCTTCATTTTGATACTAAACATAGCTAGGTTTCTTTTTTGTCATTCTTTAGATTTCGATCAATCTTTCGCCGGATTCGATAAGCTTAACAAGCTCAGAAAATTTTTTATCTAAAATGATCGAAATCTAAAGAATGACAAAAAAGAATCTAGCCATGTTTAGTATCAAAAATGAAGCTTAAAATAAGGGCTTGCCGGGGAACTGGTTTTCATGCTTGAAGGAGCTTTGGGTAGTAAAAAAATCGAAGAGCTAGGCAGACTGTCTGAAAATTTTATCTGCACGCACTACAAAATACCCGTTAAAGGGAAAATGTTGTGCAATTTTGACAGAATTGTGTGAGTTAAATGGAGATCGATGAGATTTGATTGGGACCAGTTTTTGAAGAAGAATTGATAATAGAAAATAGAAAATAGAAAATAGAATGCCGTATTTTCTCTAATAGTAGTGCACCCAAGCGAGCCGAGTTTGTGACCATTTTACAGTTCCCAAGCTTTCCCAGAAGCTCAACACCCTAATCCCCCTCTAGATCTCATCGTCACCTACATTTTCCGACCCCACATCGATAGGTTCTGATAAGCGGTTCTCGAGATTTCGAGGGATCTAGGCGACGCTCAGGGTGCACTACTATTAGAGAGAATCCTAATAGAATAACGTAGAATAACCTAGCCTTGCACTGAATTACTGAATTAGTGAATTACTGAATTACTGAATACAAATAGAGCACAGGACGCATTGAAGCACAAAAAGAGCAATGCTTGTTTAAGAAAAAACGAAAACCTTTGCTAAATTCAAAAAATTCTCTAATAATAATCAAAATTTCTCTAATTCTCTCTTTTTCCCATTCCTAGGCGGGTAAGATTTCTGAGGAAAGTCTCGTCAAAAGAGATTCGGTTCTCGTTTGGAGTACGACCCAGACATCTTCAACCATTTCCTCTAAATTCGTGTACCGGACTCGCTTCGGGTTGAACAAATCGATGACCAATTGAATCACCTAAAAAGATTTGATGAGCTTTGAGAGCTTGAGATGAGATTAGAGATGAGATTAGAGATGAGAGCTTGAGATGAGAGCTTGAGATGAGAGCTTGAGGATTAGAGATGAGATCTTGAGATGAGAGCTTGAGATGAGATTAGAGATGAGAGCTTGAGATGAGATTAGAGATGAGATTAGAGATGAGATCTTGAGATGAGAGCTTGAGATGAGATTAGAGATGAGAGCTTGAGATGAATTAGAGATGAGATTAGAGATGAGATCTTGAGATGAGAGCTTGAGATGGATTAGAGTGGATCTTGAGATGAGAGCTTGAGATGAGATTAGAGATGAGATCTTGAGATGAGAGCTTGAGATGAGATTAGAGATGAGATTAGAGATGAGATCTTGAGATGAGATCTTGAGATGAGAGCTTGAGATGAGATTAGAGATGAGATTAGAGATGAGATCTTGAGATGAGATCTTGAGATGGATTAGAGTGGGATCTTGAGATGAAGCTTGAGATGAGATTAGATGGATTAGAGATGAGATCTTGAGATGAGAGCTTGAGATGAGATTAGAGATGAGATTAGAGATGAGATCTTGAGATGAGAGCTTGAGATGAGATTAGAGATGAGAGCTTGAGATGAGATTAGAGATGAGATTAGAGATGAGATCTTGAGATGAGAGCTTGAGATGAGATTAGAGATGAGATCTTGAGATGAGAGCTTGAGATGAGATTAGAGATGAGATCTTGAGATGAGATTAGAGATGAGATTAGAGATGAGATCTTGAGATTTCACCACTTCAATGACTACTTTTTCAGGGTTTCTTGCTACAGCTTTCTTGCTTTCTTGCTACTTTTCAAGCTCTATATTTTCGTCTGACTAAAAAACTCTTTGAAAAATTGCTGTTAAAGTAGTCAAAGCTCGTTTTTTCTGTTGTAAAACTATTGAAAATGACGGAAAATGACGGAAAATGACGAAAAATGAAGGAAAATGACGGAAAATAGACGAAAAATGACGAACTCTAGAATAGAGTACTGTAGGATTGTGATGAAACATTTTTCTTGTGTTGCTAAGTGTTCACCTGTTCTTTAAAGTAGTGACACAGCTCGCCAAGCGCTTGATCGGTGCCCAAGAATCCGAGGGTTATCGACGGGGAAACAGCCTCGGAAATGTTGTAGAAATGAGCGATGAAACCGTTTGGATACTAAAAATTGCTTTAAGTTTCTTTAAGTTTAGATTTTTCTACGAATCTATTGGGTTGATGCATAATTATCCGGACTTCTTTTTGCGTGCTTGTATCTTTTTTGTTTTGAAAGCTTTTTGTCTATTTCTTTTTTTAAAATATTCGTTATTCTTTAGTGAACAAAATGCGTGTCGACAATCATATCCATCTTCGCCATATCATGCTCTACCACTTCGAAAAGGGATGGTCTGCCGCAGAGTCGTTTCGCGATCTCAAAGAACTGGAGAAGCCCCAACGGACTACCACGTCAATCGATCGCTCAAAAATTGGCAAACAAATAAGATCTACAACGATTTGGATGACTTGATAGACGATGTTAAAGCGTGGATTGCCTCCAAAGATCGTTTATTCTTCGCTCGTGGAATCGATCGTCTTCCAAGCAAATGGCAATCAGTTATTGATGTAGGCGGTGAATATGCTCCAGAATAATCAATTAAACATATTTTTCTAACTATTTATGTTATTTTTTGTTAAATAAAATCATTTATAAAAGAAGTCCGGATAATTATGCATCAACCCAATATTTCTTTTTCTTAATCAAATATTACGCTGAGTGCTAAGTGTTTCCAATTTTCATTTATTTTCATTTCATTTATTTTCAAATCGAATTGAATAAGTCTCAAGTTTGAAAATGAAATAAGCCTCAAGCTACCAAACAAATTACGGTCTTTTTCATCAAATAACCCAATCATTTCTCTTGAGAATTGCTTTTGAAAGTTTCTGAAAAGCTTTCTTTTAAAGTTTTTTCATAAAAAAGAAATTCAAAAACGATCTGATCATCATGCGATTTCGACCGTTTCTTCGAATGAAATCTATTTTCAAACACTTTTTCAAGTGAGCATCTTTTAGGAAAGATTTTAACCCTTGTTCGTCAACTAAACATAGGAAAATTCTAACTCGAACCTAATTCCACCTTCGTTTTCTCGACCGATTCCTAGCCGATTGCTCTGAAATTTTGCCTACAGATAGAAGTCGACATTTTCAACTTGTAGACAAAATTTTGAAAGTAATCGACCAAGAAACAAGCGAGAAAACGAAAGGCGGAATTGCGTTTGGCTTGGAAATTTTCCCATGTCTATCGTCAATTACCTGTAATCGTTGTCTCTTCGCTTTCAACATACTCCAAATGACGGTGGAGATTGTTGAATATTTCATCGATTGAGATAGCCAATAATTCTTTGTGACTGAATAAATGGCTGATGGCGGTGCTTTAAGATCGTCGAATGAGTCGAGAAGGATGAAATCGAGAACGATATCCCAAAAGGACAACTCGGGTACCTAGAAGTGGAAAGTTATAGAAAGTTTAAGCCTTGAGTAGCAATATGAATTTGCTGGATTTGCTGGATTCTGGATTTGCTTCTGATTGAAAGCTTCTGATTGAAAGCTTCTCATTGAGAGCTT